TTTGGACCGTCCCCTTTTCCTCTCCTCCCTTCCCCAACAGGGATCAGCAGCGGACAAGGGCTCGGTCAGTTCCAGTGGCCAGCTGAACCTGCACATGAGGGAGGGGAGCTGGGCTGTTGAACGCATTCGAAGCTCCGAGTTGATGCAGAACGAACCCAAAGTCCCATGGCAATACACCCTTCTTTTATAGCGATAAGTTCCCATACAAGTCTATGGGCCTTGCTGTGTCACACCGGAACCGTCAATCATGAGGTAGTCAAGGTTGCTCTTAATTAGTATGATTTTGAGTTCTTAGGGGAGGATCTGCAGCTGTTTCTTTCTCGTCCCTTTGGCTCAACTCCTTATCTCGTCCTTGGGGCGTATGCCTTTGCTTTAGGGTCGTCAATCTGCCATCCGGGTGATTGATCATAAAGTTGGTGCCTCTTGACTCCTCCACTCCCTTCTTGACCATCCGGCCCAGCTGTCCTGGCTTAGTTAATTACCATATACTCTTCACTCACACCAAACTGTAAATAAGGCAATTACAGCCATAAAACGGCTATCCGTCCAAGAACAAATGTTAAGCAATCAGCAAAAAATAAACTCTGAACAATTTCTTCGTACTAATTCAAGGCTACAATTTCTTCATACTAATTCAAAGCTAGCAAAATGGAGTATAAGGCAAAATAAGCAAAATTTTACTTAAGACAATTTCTTCCCATTAGGTTTTTGGCCTACATATGCAACTCCTGGATGGAGAAGCAGGAATCTTTCCTGCTTGAAGTCCAAGACTGTGTCTTCTAGACAGCAGCAGGCTCATCCAATGAAACACCAAATCTTAGATGGTGTTTTCCCATTTTGCCGCCAGAGCTTTGTTCAGAACCAGCTGGGTGTCGTCAGCTACAGAGGCCAAACACTTCCGCAGCATGAAGTAGGTGGTAACCAGTGCCACCCCTCCTGACACCATGGCTCCAAATACGGGGAGGCGCTTCCACGAATATTCCGCTACCATCCTGGCGGCCCCCACCGAATCCGATAACATGACACCTGGAAAGATGGGATACTAGATACCATGAGAGAGCCAATGGCTTTTCCAGATCCCATCCTTCCACGGGCGAAAGTGACCCCACTCAGTTTGGTCTCGAAGGGGGGAGATATGTGACGAAGTGGGAATGTTCTTAATGTTTTCGCTGAATACTGGGTGGGTGCCTCAGTTTCCCCTATGCATTTCTTAAGTATCTAGGTGGGGGGATAAGGGTGTGATTGTCGCAGAGCCCTAGAGGGCCAGTGTGATGGTGTCTGCATAGAGAATGGCTGACACCCTGTCTCCTGGCAACTGATGGCCTGGGCCCCTCCTCTGCAAAGGTGCCAACTGAAGGTGTTGGAGAACAAAGAGATCAGGTGGCCTCCTGGCCCGGAAAAGGGACAAAGGCCGGAGGAGGGGCTGGAGAGTTTCAGTTTGGAGCTGGCTGGGGAAATGGAGGGAGGCCCAGATGGGGCTCTGGCCTCTCTGCTCCCCAAGACGCACCTGACTGAGGGGTCCTGTTCTCTGTACCGACAAGCTCTGTTTTAGACCATGTTCCTGTCGTCTAATAAACCTTCTGTTTTAGTGGCTGGCTGAGAGTCACGCCTGACTGTGGAATTGGGGTGTAGGCCCCTCTGGCTTCCCCAGGACCCGGCCTGTGTGGACTCGCTGTGGGAAGCGCACGGTGTGGAAGGGGATGCTGAATACTCCGAGGTCAGCCCCAGGAAGGTCAAAGCTGTGTGAGTGTCTTGCCCTGGGGACAGTCTGCTCACAGAGAGGAGGCTCCCCCAGAGTCCTGACTGGCTTCGTATGGAGTAGTTCAAAAGCATCGCCCGGTGACTCCGTGACAGGGAGAACTTAGTTGAGGCTTGGGGTACTTCCCAAAGGGCCAGTAGCGGGGGGCACGGGGAAGAGGAATCAACTGGTCCCACTGGTGCATCTCTTTCAAGGGGAACTTCCACAACATTTCCTTCAACGTGACGGACTGCTGCTGGCTGGAGCTCCCTTCCCTGGAGAACTGCTGGTGTGGGGAAGGGGGGGCCTTGCCGGCCTGCCCCCCCCCAGCCCCACCTCCATCCCTCCAGAAGGAGAACCGAGGACCCCATTAACACCATCACCACGCCCACCTTCGTTGCCTGGGTCCTACCTGGCTGGCTGCCGCCTGCTTGCTGCTGCTGCTTCTCAGCCTGCTGCCTCGTCAGGAGGAGGGAGACAGCTGCGGGACACGGCGGAGGGGATTGGTTGTCATTACCGGACTGAGTGACTCTAACACCTGTGTTCCTGGGGCAGTGGGAGCCTTTGCTGCTGTGGGGGGCCAGGGGAGAGGCGTGGAGCCCCCCCCAGCTCAGCTGCCCCCCTCCACACTTTCCACCACCCCCACCCCCTCCACCAACCCAGCTAACCACGGGCACCTGCTGCTCCCCCCTCGACGGGGCCGCTTGCTCCCCCCCACCGCCATCTGGGACTGTACCTAGCAACAAGCAAGGAGCGGAGTGAGCCTCACAAGCGCTCGGGGGTGCACCCCCCACCTTGGTCTTGGCCCCGCTTCCCCAGTGGCATTTAGTGGGGGGCCTCCCCACTACTCCCCCCACAGCCCAATTTCTTCCTCTCTCCCTATCATAGCCCCCCAGAAGTTTTTTCCCTGTTGTTTGCCTGCCCCGCCCTGGTCCCGCCCTACGTTCCTGAGTTAGTTGCTTTGCCTGACCCACCCCAGCCTCCTGACTGTTTGTTACTTTGCTTGCCCCGTCCTTCCCCAGGAATTTGGTTCCCCCTTGTGTTACTGGTGTAACCCTTCTGCCCGTCAGAGTTGGCAGCAACAAGGGCCGGGTTCAATATCTAGGGGATCCATTCCAATAACACAATGCAAACTGGCTCAAGCCCCCACCCAGTGACCTGGGACAAATATATACCACCCCCGCTGGGCGCCTCCAAGAGGCAATACTTCCCCTCTCGCAAGCACATAGTCTGAGTGTAGCAAAAGCCTTTTAATAACAGAGAGAAACAATGTGGCATTATGTTGGGGAAACACCACCAACAGGATTCATAACACAACCCATGAGCAAAAAAAACCCACCCCAAGCAAATTGGGGCATGCCCTTTTCCCTTTGGTTCTTGAGTCCAGCAACCCCAAATCACCCAAAGTCCCAAAAGCCCAATGCCCCAAAAAGTCTCTGTCCCTGGTCAGGGCAGCCCCAGAGTTCGAAAGTTTATCTGCGGAGCTTTACCTCCCAATCTGGGTGGAAATGGGACGGGGGTAAGAGGCACCTTACATGATCTGAAGCTGACCGCCCCATAGCGGCGCTCCGCTCTGCCAGCCACCCCACGAACTCCTTCGCTCAGCTGTGCTCCGCTCCGCCAGCCGCCCCACGAACTCCTTCCGCTCCGCCAGCCGCCCCACGAACTCCTTCGCTCCGCTCCGCCAGCCGCCCCACGAACTCCTTCGCTCCGCTCCGCCAGCCGCCCCACGAACTCCTTCGCTCCGCTCCGCCAGCCGCCCCACGAACTCCTTCGCTCAGCTCCACGGCCCACAAGCAGCTCCTGCCATCCACAAACTGCTCCGCATCGAACTGCTTCACCAGCCGGTCCGCAAGGCACTCCAGCCATCCCGCAAACTGCTCCACAATATATCTTCAGGCTCCCCCACTACTTAACACAACACTCAGTGATTTCAGCTCTTAGGTAAATTCAGCTTGTAGTAGGGGAGCCCCAGTGCTGGTGCACTGTCAGCCCAAAGTGAGCTCAGCAGCCTATAACTAGACTTCTGATGAAATCAAAATTAGCTTTGATATTCCACAGTGGAGAGAGGAGGAAGTGCAATTAGCATGTAAGGCCCTCACCAAGGGGCCCATACCACCAAGTATTAATACTTGTCCCCAGCCTCTCTCCTTTCACACAGTTTTGGAACCCATGACCCTTGCCTAGCGAGTGCTACTTAGTTGATGGTGAATCCCTCCATCATAACAAAAGGCCACGTACAGTTCCAAGCACAGTTCCCATAATCAGGGTAATAACAATTTATTCTTCCTGCCCCAATAACAGAGACACTGGGGATCCCACAGCAGCCAAAGTGACCATTTGGGCAGCTATGGTCTCATTCTAGGCGGGGTGGGTGTGCCTATGCAAATGAGATCGGCCCCTGAAGTTCTTTCCCACAACTTGCCACACCTCACCACCAGATGTCAGGGTGGAGCTCATCCTGACACTGCTTACACTGGAAAACCTTCTGCAGGCCCCAGCCTAGTGGGAGGGACCACTGGACCGAGGGACCACTGGACCAAGGGACCAAGGAAATGCGGGGGACAACTAATGAAAAACAGGGCCCGATGCTGCTCAGGAGGTGGTGGAGAAGGGCCTGGTGGTGGGGGGCGTGTTCATCCCCCTAGAGCCCCTGGAGGACCTGGGCATACGGGTGGTGTTGACCTCCGTCCCGCCCTTCCTCCCCAACGCTGCCCTGTTACCTGCCCTCTCCACCCTGGGGAAGCCCATTTCCGTCATCAGCCCTCTCCCACTGGGCTGTAAGGACCCCGCCCTCCGCCACGTTCTGTCCTTCCACCGGCAGGTGCAAATCCAAGTGCCGCCGGGGGCACGTGACAGGGTGGAGCTCGAGGGGTCCTTCCTGGTGCCCTACTAGGGGGCCCATTACTGGGTGCACTATTCGACGGGGGAGGCCTGGTGCTTCCTCTGCTGGGCGATGGGGCACGTCCGGAGGGACTGTCCCCTGGCCCGGCACGGAGGGGCATCCGGGACCCCCGAGCCCCACAGCTGACACCTCTCCTCCTCCTGCCGTAACCCCCACTCGGGCCGCAGGGACAGCCCCCCCGTTGTGCCCAGACGAGCGGGCGGGTCTCAGCTCAGATAGCTGCCCTGAGCCCTGGAACCGTCACCCTCACCCCTGGCCCTGCCGACCGGCCCTCCCCCTCCACCTCAGAGGGCTGGGTACTCATCCGGGGGAAGCGGGGCGCCCGCAAATCGCGGCCTCAAACCCCCCCCCAGAAAGATGCTGTGGGGGGCTGATGCTGCTCCATCTTCCACCACGCCCCCGGAAGGAGCCCAGCAGGAGGCGCTGGCCGTGGAAGCCATGGCAGCAGATGGGGGCGGTATCGCCCCCCTCACGGAGCCCCCCCCAGGGAGGCCTCTGCAGGAGTTCCCCATGCCCCTTTGCCACCTCTGCCCCCCGCCACCGCCGCTGCCGGGGCAATTGTTGCCCTGGTTACTGGTGGGGAGGACTCTGGGGCTGCGGGAACTGATTTTACCTCAATTTTTGAGGACATCGAGGCCCTGGGTCTGACCCCGGTCACCCAGGGGGAGGACGACCCCCCACCAGTGGGCCTCGATCTTGGCGGCGGTTTAGTCCCACCGCCCCCTCCTCCTCCCTGCTCCTCACCCCAAGTTGTCACCCCCGCTCTGTCCTTGGAGCACCCCTGGCCCTCCCTATCTGCCCGGCCACAGATGTCACCTTGTCTGAGGCCACCGAGCCCCTCAGGGCGACAGCTGATGCCGAGTGCCCGGGCCCCAAGCCTGTGGGTGCACCATCCACCACCCGGACAGAGCGGCCAGTCTCCCCTCCGGAGGGGGGCCCCACTGAAGACTCCACCAGGCCTGACGCCGTGTCTGCGGGTGGCGCGCTTGTCGCGATGCCCGTGCCCGGCATCGGTGAAGGCTCCTCTCCCGCCCCCATCCCCTCAGCCCCAAGCCCCGGTTGAGAGGAGCCGCACCCCAGCAGCTCGGCTGCTGGAGACCGAAAACCCATCTCTGTCCCCGTTCCCTCCCCATCCCTGTCCCCGCTCCCTATCGTGTCCCCTCTCCTGCCCCGGCCTCCACCCCAGATCCTGCTCCCGCTTTAGTCCCTGCCGCTGATCCTGCTCCCAACCCTTCTCCTGCCCTAGTCCCTGCTCCTGCTCCAATCCCTGCCCCTGATCCCGCTCCTGGCCCCACTCCTGCCCCCAATGCATTGACAGCTGCTCTCCTCTTCACTTCCCATGCTGCTGCCACCTCCAAGGTTGTCTCGTTTTCACTGCCCATGGACAACCCTCAGGGGGCAGTTTTCGTGTCTCCCCTTCCCGACATTGTGGGGGCTGCACTATTCCCTCCGCCGACCCCTCCCTTGCCGGGGATGGGGACGGGCTGCACGGAGCAGCCGCACTGGGGCTTGGCCCCTTGTTTGCCCGTCTCTGCAGGCCACGAGGTTCTCTCAGGGGCCCCTCCGGAGGACGGCAGTGGGTGGCTGCCACGTCCCCCTCTGCACTGAGGGATGAGCTGCGCTGCTTCCTAACAGACACCCGTGGCTCGAAGGGCAAGGTGCAGCTCGCCCTCCAGCGCTGGGGGGACTTCCATCGCGTCCTCCGGGCCGTGAAGGCCCTTTTGCGGGAGGGGAGAGGGACCGGGAGGCAGAACATCGCGGCCTACCAGCGGGCCCACAAGTTCCGCAACTCCCTATTGACCTTTGGGGTCGAAAGCGGGTTGTTGCAGGGCCCGCTGGAGGCTGTTGATCATCCTGCCCATGAGGATTCGCCCCAGCCCTCCCTAGGAAATTTACCATCTTTGCTACATTAAACACCCGGGGCTGTAGGGTGGGTCTCCGCAGGAGCCAGGTGCTCTCCTTCCTTTGGGAAGGGCGGTACTCTGTGATCTTCCTGCAAGAGACCCACACAGCCCCAGCCGTCGAGGCTAGCTGGAGGCTGGAGTGAGGGGACGGGGTTTATTTCAGCCACCTCAGAGCCCATTCGGCTGGGGTGGCCACCCTGTTCTCCCCCGAGCTACGACCCGAGGTGCTGGGAGTCGCCAAGGTCGGGCCAGGCCACCTGCTGCACGTCCGGGACTACGTAGAGGAACTGGTGTTGAACTTGGTCAACGTCTATGCCCCGAACAAGGGCCTGGACCGGGTGCGTTTCTTTCGGCAGGCGTCGGCCTTCCTCGGCACTCTGGATCCTCATGAGTGTGTCCCCATTTACGAACCTCCGTGGCCCCAGTCAGGAAATGAGAGCAGTTAGAGGAAAAGAGCAACGGTTGGTGACCATCAATCCACTTAGTGCTGGACACATAAATGTGAAACAAGTCATTAGAACTAGTGTTTGGTGGTGCACGTTTTCGATGCTCTTTGTGCAAAGGGAAGATAACAGACTGGCATCTCGACGAGGGGCAGAGTTAAGGAGATTTGGTACCTTGCTTTTGAAATACAACCTTCCTTCTCCATTGACAAGCCTTCCTAGTTTTTTGGAGGTATTTGATTTCTCTCTCTCTGTTGGAAAAAAGACTACTAAGTATTTAATAAAATGAATGGCTAGGTGCCCAGCAGTCATCTGACACCCTGCACTAAGGGCATCAGAGCCAGTGACCCACCGTAGCAGCATAAATTCAAACGCTAGGAACGCTGAAAATTAGACTGTAACTAACTGATCTTTGGTGCTGAGGACATACTTGCAATGGGTATGTAGACACCCAGCAATGCAGATAGGTGCCTGGGAGGATTTTCAAAAGCACCTGGCAGGTTAGGTGCCTAACTCCCAATAGGAAAATCCCACAAAGCACCTATCGGCTTCTTCAGTGCCTAAATACCTTGGGAAAATCTGTCGCTGTCCCAAGAGCATGCAGAGTACAAAGCTGAACTCAGGTCACCGGGCTCCAAGGCTCACAGCCAAACCACTGGAGCAGCTGTCTGCCCTGTTTTGACTTGCTCTCTCTTTTTTTGCTACCAAGTGCTAAAAACACCCCAGCCCCTCCAATAACAGAAGTTTTTACCCCTGCTGAACCCCTCTCTTTTTTAGTGTGTTCTCACTCAGGATCCCTTTGTCAGATACATTTAAAATTCTATTGTAAATTTCTACCTTAAGCCCAGAAGCAACATACCAGTTTTGAGAGACAAGGTGGGTGAGGTGATATATTTTATTGGACCAACTTCTGTTGGTGGAAGAGACCAGCTTTCCAGCTGCACAGAGCTCTTCTTCAGGTCTGGGGTAGTTTTGAGGGAGATGTGACCTGTTGGCCCTTATTCACCCCACTGTTACCCCAGTTTTACATTGGAAGGGCTCACGCTGGCCTAAAACTGAACTAACACAATAGTTATCAGGCCTTTTGTGTGCGTTTTAGAAGGGGTCAAAATCAGGCTTGTAATGGAAATTCAGCCAGAACCTTAACAATGGGATTGCTCCATAGCTAGGAGCCCCACCAGCAGAGGGTGCTGGCCAGGGGAGGTGTACACATTTATCTCCGTTTGCTCCCAGGCACTAATACCCTTGGCATCTAGGTAGGGCTACAGGTTCAATTCTATTAATAAGAGGTCAGATAACCAGGATCAATCAGGTTATTAATCAAAGATTATTGGTCAAAGATTAATCAGCACGATACAGGAGTGTAAATACATCACTGATCTGGGGAAGTGGTACTGCAACCTGAACCATTCCAGCTACCTGCCAGAATATCCCCCCTTTATAAACCATGCTTGTTTATGGACAAAGGGGCAATGAAAATTCCTTTCTCATGACTGACTGACCTGTGGAATTCCTTTCATGGCATCTCAATTTATTTAGACTCATAGACTTTAAGGTCAGAAAGGACCATTCTGATCATCTAGTCTGACCTCCTGCGCAATGCAGGCCACAGAATCTCACCCACCCACTCCTGTAATAAACCCTAACCTAAGTCTGAGCTATTGAAGTCCTCAACTCATGGTTTAAAGACTTCAAGGTGCAGAGAATCCTCCAGCAAGTGACCTGTGCCCCACGCTACAGAGGAAGGCAAAAAACCTCCAGGGCCTCTGCCAATCTGCCCTGGAGGAAAATTCCTTCCCAACCCCAAATATGGTGATCAGCTAAACCCTAAGCATGTGGGCAAGACTCACCAGCCAGACACCCAGGAAAGAATTCTCTGTAGTAACTCAGATCTCACCCCATCTAACATCCCATCACAGGCCATTGGGCATATTTACCGCTAATAGTCAAAGATCAATTAATTGCCAAAATTAGGCTATCCCATCATACCATCCCCTCCATAAACTTATCAAGCTTAGTCTTGAAGCCAGATAGGTCTTTTGCCCCCACTGCTCCCCTTGGAAGGCTGTTCCAGAACTTCACTCCTCTGATGGTTAGAAACCTTCGTCTAATTTCAAGTCTAAACTTCCTGATGGCCAGTTTATCTCCATTTGTTCTTGTGTCTATATGGTATTGAGCTTAAATAATTCCTCTCCCTGAGCCAGGGCTGGCCTTACCATGAGGCGAACTGAGGGGGCCGCCTCAGGTTCCAGACTGTGGGGTGGGGGGCACCACTAGGACCCAGAGTGTAGAAAATTGTGTCTGCTGCTGGTGCATCTGTATTCTCTGTGCTCAAGATGCACAGAGATGGGGGAGTGCTGGGCTGGAGGGAGGAGGGCACAAGAGACATAACAGGGAGGCAGGAGAAAAGGGGAGCGGGAATAACAGAAAGCAGCAGGAGCTGCAGGGAGAGAGAGGAGGAGGAGCCTCTTATGTACCTCTCGAGCACCCCCAGGAGCCTGGACTGTTAACACCAGCTTCTCAGGGAGCTTCCGGTTTCCTGCTGCTTCCCTGAACCCACTTGAGGGGAACAGGCAGTCAATTGAAGTAGTAGGAGCCAGTTAGGCCCTTAAGACGCTGATATCTTCCCTCACTCAGGCCCTGCTACCAGCCTGCTTATTTGTCCCCTTCAACTGAGCGTTGAGAGTCACTCTAGCTGGCACAGAACAGCAGTCATGAGTGAAGGAAGAAAACGCCTCTCTAGGGCAGCATTCAGAAAAAGAAAGAAAGCAAAGGAAGCTTTTCTATCTAAGCAGGAAGGAGCTCTCCTGAGAGACACAGACACAGATGTTCAGGGTGAGCCTTCCGGCCCCAGTGAGGATGTGAGTGGTGAGGAGATGCCTGATCTTCCAGTTAGTCAGAGTGCAGGTGACCTGGCAGCTACTGCAGCATCCATATCTCCATCTCAAATGGATGTAACCATACACAGTCCTGAAGAAAAGTGTAGATCAGAGAAGAGTGTGGTGGAGGCGCAAGAAACAGCTGCTACTGAGTTTAGTTCCTTAAGTCTAGATGATCCAGGACTGTGGACCCACTTGAGCAGTAACCTGAGGGACTTCCTGGTACTGCATGGGCCACAGCAAGTGAAAAACTTCATGTTCCCCAAAGACAGTGAAAATAGAAGTTTCCATCCAACACATTACTGGCATGAAATCCCCAAAGGTGACATGGACAGACCATGACTTATGTACTCAAAAACCCAGAATGGTGCATACTGTTTTTGTTTTTTGTTTTTTGCAAACTCTTCCGGTCTAATGTTCCAGCCACATTGGGTTCTACAGCAACAAAGGACTGGAAAAATCTGGCTAGAAATCTGGCATGCCATGAGAAGGCAGCAAATCACCAGAGAGCTTTCCACAGGTGGAAAGAGCTTGAGATGAGACTAAGGTTAAAGGCCATCATAGATGATCAGCATCAAGATAAGATTGCATCAGAGTCTCTTTACTGTCAAAATGTTCTGAAAAGGCTCATTGCCATTGTGAGAATGCTTGCAACCCAAACCCTAGCACTGCGTGGCATTTCAGATCAGCTGTATGTGCCAAACAATGGAAATTTCCCTAAAATTGTGGAGCTGATGGCTGACTTTGATGCTGTACTCCGGGAGAATCTAAGAAGAGTCACCACCCAAGAAATGTACACACACCACTACCTTGGAAAAACAATTCAAAATGAGATCATCCAGTTACTGGCAACAAAAGTCAAACAAAAGATTGTGGCAGATCTGAAGTCAGCAAGATATTACTCTGTTATTCTGGACTGCACACCTGACATCAGCCATACGGAACAAATGACTTTAATAGTGCGTTTTGTAACAACCACAGAACCGAGTGAAAATGTCCCTGCAATGGTGACTGTCAGAGAGCATTTTTTAGAATTTATTGACATTAATGATACTACAGGAGCTGGTATGACAGATGTGCTTCTTAAAAAGCTGGCAGAGACGGGAATTGTGACAGCTGACAGGAGAGGTCAGGGCTACAATAATGGTGCCAACATGAGAGGAAAGAACAGAGGAGTGCAGACACGGATCCAAGAGTTAAACCCTTGAGCTTTTTTTGTCCCATGCAGTTCTCATTCATTGAACTTGGTGGTCAGTGATGCAGTGAGGCTGCTGAATTTCTGAATGTAATTCAAAGCATCTATGTATTTTTCTCTGCATCAACTCATCGATGGCAAATTTTGAAGCAACATCTGGGAACATCCTCTCTGACACTGAAACCACTGAGTGCCACACGATGGGAAAGTCGAGTGGAGGCGATAAAGCCTATCAAACACCAAATTGGGAAGATAGATGATGCCATAGTTGCCATTATGGAGGATAATGTTATGACAGGAATTGTTTGTGGGAGAACAGTGACAGAGGGAAATGGAATCACCAGAAATATACATAACTTCAAATTTCTGTGTGGCTTAGTGTTGTGGCATGACAAACTGTTTGAAATAAATGTTGTAAGCAAGAGTCTGCAAGGTGTTGACCTATATCTCGAGCAATGGAACAACTGAACAAAGCAAAGTCATACCTACAGTCTTTCCGGTCAGATGAGGGATTTCAAAACGTTCTGAAGAGTGCCCAGAAGTTGGCAGAGGAACTTAGAATCATAGACTTTAAGGTCAGAAGGGACCATTATGATCATCTAGTCTGACCTCCTGCACAACGCAGGCCACAGAGTCTCACCCACCCACTCCTGTATCAAACCCCTAACCTATGTCTGAGCTATTGAAGTCCTCAAATCGTGGTTTAAATTGTGATTTAAAGACTTCACACTGAAGCTATTTTCCCACCCATTCAAGAATACAAGAGTCACCGAAGAAGACATTTTGATTATGAGGCATGGGATAATCCCATGAGACCGCAAACAACAATTCAAAGTTGAATTCTTTAACCAGGTGCTAGATTGTGCAATACAGTCAGTTGAAGAATGTTTCATGCAGCTCAGGGAACACAGCAGTATATTTGGGATGTTCTATGATATTCCCAAACTCCTCACTATACCTGAAGAAGACCTACACCAGCAATGCAGGGCACTAGAGACAGTGTTGACACATGATGACATGCGTGATATTGATGCGAGTGATTTAGGTGATGAACTGAAAGCCCATTCAAGATACATTTCAGCAGGATCAACTCCAAAGACTGTTCTGGAATATATGTGCACAAATAAGATGACCACCCTCTTTCCAAATGCTTTTGTTGCTATGCGCATACTTCTAACACTTCCTGTAACAGTTGCCAGTGGAGAACGCAGCTTCTCCAAGCTGAAGTTCACGGAACAGGTCCTCAAGGAATCAATTCTGAAGCACTTAGAGGAGAGGAAAGTGATCAGGAACAGTCAGCATGGATTCACCAAGGGCAAGTCATGCCTGACTAATCTAATTGCCTTCTATGACGAGATAACTGGCTCTGTGGATGAGGGGAAAGCAGTGGACGTGTTGTTCCTTGACTTTAGCAAAGCTTTTGACACGGTCTCCCACAGTATTCTTGCCAGCAAGTTAAAGAAGTATGGGCTGGATGAATGGACTATAAGGTGGATAGAAAATTGGCTAGATTGTCAGGCTCAACGGGTAGTGATCAATGGCTCCATGTCTAGTTGGCAGCCGGTATCAAGTGGAGTGCCCCAAGGGTCGGTCCTCGGGCTGGTTTTGTTCAATAACTTCATAAATGATCTGGAGGATGGTATGGATTGCACCCTCAGCAAGTTTGCAGATGACACTACACTGGGAGGCGAGGTAGATACACTGGAGGGTAGGGATAGGATACAGAGGGCCCTAGACAAATTAGAGAACTGGGCCAAAAGAAATCTGATGAGGTTCAACAAGGACAAGTGCAGAGTCCTGCACTTAGGACGGAAGAATCCCATGCACCGCTACAGACTAGGGACTGAATGGCTTGGCAGCAGTTCAGATAATTCATACTATCTCTGATGCCATCCTACAGACTGGCAAGCAGGGGGCTCTCCATAAAAGACAGGGAATGAATGAGGGAGATTGTGGAAATGAAAGTCCCACTTAATACTGTTGTCTCTTGGGGCCATGGGGTTCACCATTATTTGCAGGGCTATTTGCATTAGGAGGAGAAATCGAAGACACAAGTCAGTCTTGTTCTTGGTGTGATCCTGTTTATTTGCACAGAGCACACACACAGTTGTGGTTTCTGAACACAGCAGAAACAGTCACAGGCAGTTTCCTCGCTCCAAAATCCCCGTGCCTGCCCTCCAGTGGGCTCTGTGCCCAAGAAACTCTGTCCCTCTGCTTCCTCTAAGAGATGGTCTACACTGCAGAGTTAGGTCGACCTAATTACATCGCTCAGGGCTGTGAAAAATTTCACATCCAGCCAACCAAAGCTCCAGGGTACACACTGCTAGAACTAATGAGCCTGAGGCCCCGTGGAGGTTCTCCATCATGCACACAGGATCTCAGGAAGGGAGAAAAATGGCCCTCCTTCTTCCAAGCCTCTGATAGTCACCCAGTCCCCTCTCCCACCCACTCTGGCTCTCCTGGAAGCTCTAGGAAGAGATTCCTGCTCTAGATCAAAGGTGGGAAGAAGGGCTAGCGATTCTGTAGTGAGCAGAAGGCTTGAGGGGTCCGGAGTTCTTCCTCCCTTCCCTGTGGACTCGCTGAGCTCTGCAGGGTGGGGAAAGCCCCAGCAGGCTGATTGGGAGCCATTACCCATTCCAAGCACTTCATGGGAATCTTCTTCTTTCTCAAGGAAATTCTTTGGCTTCCTGTTGGGAAAATACTAATCCTTTTCTGGGATTTCACGTGTCACATGTTGTGTGAGCCCTTCCATCCCCAGAAAACCAGAGGGGGTGTCTCTCCTGGCATTCCTATGGGGGCAGAATTAAGGTTATGTGCTTGAGCTGAGTGGAAAGTGTCACCTTAACTTCACCTTTCCCATTTCCTGCCCAAACTTCCACTGGACTCACTCATGTGAGCTGACGTCTGTCTTCTGTCTAAACTAACCGTACGTGGAATATCTCCCTGTCTTTTCGCAGGCAGACTGAGCAGTGCACTGGAGTTGCCATGGCTGGTTAGATGCTAAAGAGCTTCCCAAGATACCTGAAGAGGATGTGGAAGCACTGAAGGCTGCTCTTGGGACAGGAAACCTCATCGAAGCAGCTGTTAAAGCGAAAGAGACTCTGGATATGGCTGATGAAATCACTCTGGACATCGCTGTCACGGGGGAGGCGGGCTCTGGAAAATCATCCTTTGTCAACGCCATCCGGGGTCTGGGGGATAGAGATGAAGGTGCTGCTGCGACAGGGGTCATTGAAACGACAATGGAGCCCACTGCTTACCCACATCCTAGATACCCAAATGTAAGAGTCTGGGATCTGCCAGGGATCGATACCCCAACATTTAAACCAGACACGTACCTTGAGCAGGTGGATTTCAGCGACTACGACTTTTTCATCATCATCTCCAGCCCCCGCTTCAAATACCACGACATTAGCCTCGCCCAGGAGATCCAGAAACTGGGGAGGAAGTTTTACTTTGTGCGCTCCAAGGTGGACCAGGATTTGGCAAATGAGAAAAAACTGTATGAAGAGGTTTCAGAGGAACAGCCGTGTTAGTCTGTATTCGCAAAAAGAAAAGGAGGACTTGTGGCACCTTAGAGACTAACCAATTTATTTGAGCATGAGCTTTCGTGAGCTACAGCTCACTTCCTGAAGAAGAGAAATGCTCCTGCGAAAAGGCCACGTCAGCACAGGGAGCGTGCGATCCTCGATGCCATCAGAGAGAAGTGCATCAAAGGCCTGGAAGCAGCAAAGGTGGCCTCCCCGCGGGTTTTTCTTGTCTCTAGATGGGACTTGGGCAAGTACGATTTTCCCACATTGCAGGAAACGCTTGTGGATGAGCTCCCCAGTCACAAGAGACTCGCTCTTCTACGATCCCTGTCCCATGTTTCGAAAGAAACCGTGGAGAAGAAAAAAGAACAACTGCAAAGGCAGATATGGCTGAAAAGTCTGGTGTCATGTGGAGTCGCTGCCATTCCTCTCCCGGGTCTCTCCATTGCTTGTGATGTTGCCGTGCTGGTGACGTCCCTGAAAGGGTTCTGCAGGGACTTCGGCCTTGATGAAAAGTCTCTCGCTGCACTCGCTAGACACAATAACACGCCCATTGCAAAGCTGAAGGCCGTTATACAGTCCCCACTGAGTGAGGCAATAACACAAGATCTTGTAATTACGCTACTGACCAAGTGCGCAGCTGGGGCCGTTCAGTATTCAACAACTTCTTAAAAATTTATACCTGTGGTAGGTTCCGTGGTATCGGCAGCAGTTTCGCTCCCTACCACATACTTCATGCTGCAGAATTTCCTGGAGGATGTTGCTGCTGACGCTCTACGAGTGCTGGAGGTGGTTACGGAGGGAGCCGTTTCAAACCCAGATTAAAACCCGCAGCCCCTGAAAGGAAGAAACGTCAGGACGTGGCTGAAAGGATCCAAGTAAAGACCCTGTCCCCGCCGGAGCTCGGAGCTCAACGCTCTGGGAAGTCTCATGAAAATGCTGCCTTTCTCCATCAGGGGGGAAACTTCACCATAACTGAGCTCTGAGCCCCATTTCCACTGAGCTCCCCCACCCACCCTAAAAATGACGTCATATTGAATTTAATTCAGCCATAAAGGGGCGGGGGATCCTGACTGACACTGTTCTTTGTGTTTTCTTTATTTCACCAGCGAAAGAGGCCAAGTTGTGATAAAGCTCCCCAGGGTCCCCAGTGCCTTACGCTCTCTGCAGGGGAGCTCAGGGAATGGTTATTTCAGGCCCTAGCCAAGAGCAGGGCCATGGCAGAGCCCATCTTACTCTTCACTAGGAAACGACAGGGAGCGCAACAATTACTCGTTCTAGCCACAGATTTTCCACTTCTTGGTTCCTGTTGCCCTGAAATTGCAGCCTTGGCAGGCGCCACGTTAAGCATGTGGGTAAATTCACTCAGAGACAATCTTAAAAACCCTAAATGCTGACATGACTTGGGTTGACGACCCCCGGGTGCCAACTCCAGGGCCCAAGGCAAAGGAAACAGGCTTTTGACCACAGATGCTTTTGCACTTTCTCCCAGGCTGAACCCTGTCCGGGGAGGAGCTGCCTGTAACCTCCCACAGAGCCCCCGGACTGACCTGCAAACGCCTCCTTCAGCCTCACCCCTGCCATGGAGCCTCTGGATCCCTCGACAATGGCCCGCAGCTGGAGCTCTGGGAGCGCTGCCCCTTGCGTTATCCCAAGCCTCTCCCTGCTCCCTTGTGCTCCCCTGTCTGCCTGGAGCACCCGCCTGCTGGGTCTAGTCTTAGATTGTCAACTCCCGGGGGCAGGGCCTATCCTTTTGTTCTGTGTCTGTACAGCACCTAGCGCTGCAGGGCCATCACCCCCAACAGGGGTCCTAGGTTTTCCTTTGAGACAAGAATAGATTAAGAAATGCTTAGACTGATCCTTGTAATTCTGTCTCTATGCTCATAGGTTTAACCAGTCCCTTATGCAAAGGTAGATTTGTCCAGGGAAGCACCTGTGTCTGGCTGAGCTAGTAATCCTGAGAATGACCCTATATTTAAATGGAGAAGGGTCTGGCTGATAAACCCATATTGGATGCTTGATAATTACCTAGCTGAGTGGCAGCTGTCACTTATACTCTGGGCTGTGCTCCCATTCACGGCTGGGGAGTTTGTGTGGAGAGAGGCTTTCATGTTTAATGCTGAGTTTATGGACATCTATTGCTCCTTGATTTGCTATTCTCAGTGTGAGCCGATTATGTAGTTTATTATAAGAGCCGATGACTGAACAATTCATTTGAGCAACTGGAGACTCCGATACATTGCAGCTGGGTTGGCCACTTGTATAGCCAGTGCATCAGCCTCTGCCTTCCCTCAATGACCCATTCATTTGTTGCTTTTGTTTTCATAATGATTAGCAGTCCGGTTCTGCTCCCCTTTCACCCCCCCAGAACGGGCCGCTCTTGTCTTGTAGAAATGATTTAATATTTCAATGATAATGAACTTGCATTTAACCTGGACTAAGAGCCCGTGTCTCTGAATTTCGCTATTGCTAAAGGCTCATGTGCTGCCGGCACCCAGTGCCAGAGGCAAACAACAGCAGGGGTTCGTTGCCCGGTGTGCGTCACCCAATAAACACAACGGGGGGAGAAGCAGAAAAGTTTATTTGCAGCTGCAAAGAAGGCACAGGGAGAACAGAATCTCAAATCCTGCACACCAGAGCGGGTCATTACACACACTTTTATATTCCTTAATGCTACTGCACTGCACATCAGCCAATTAAAACTTTGCACAAATACTCTGCCTTCCTTATATGGGTTACAACAATGTTTATTTCCTGCAACCTCTAACAAGCATTCCTAGCAACTAAAACAACCAGGTTTCAGAGTACCAGCCGTGTTAGTCTGTATTCGCAAAAAGAAAAGGAGGACTTTTGGCACCTTAGAGACTAACCAATTTATTTGAGCATAAACTTTCGTGAGCTACAGCTCACTTCATCGGATGCATACTGTGGAAACTGCAGAAGACATTATATACACAGAGACCATGAAACAATACCTCCTTCCACCCCACTCTCCTGCTGGTAATAGCTTATCTAAAGCGATCATCGAGTTGGGCCATTTCCAGCACAAATCCAGGTTTTCTCACCCTCCGCCCCCTCCCCCCAAACTCACTCTCCTGCTGGTAATAGCCCATCCAAAGTGACCACTCTCTTTATGTGTATGATAATTAAGGTGGGCCATTTCCTGCACAAATCCAGGTTCTCTCACCCCCTCACCCCCCTCCAAAAACCTACAAGAGCTCTATCAAATACAGGTGTCCCCCCCCCCTTTTTTTTTTTCCCAAAAAACACACACACACAAACTCACTCTCCTGCTGCGGAATCACCTGATCAACATCCTCTACAGCAAACAGGGAAAGATTAAGAATGAGCTCTCAAAAATGGATACTCTCATAAAAAACCAACCTTCCACACAAACTTCCTCGTGGCTGGATTTTACTAAAACTAGACAAGCCATTTACAACACACACTTTGCTTCTCTACAAAAGAAAAAGGACACTAAACTTTCTAAACTACTACATGCTACAAGGGGCCACAGCAATGGTTCCCTCAACCCACCCAGCAATATTGTTAACCTATCCAACTATACTCTCAGCCCAGCAGAAGCAGCTGTCCTATCTCGGGGCCTCTCCTTCTGCCCCTCCACCCCCACGAACATGATACAGTTCTGTGGTGACCTAGAATCCTATTTTCGACGTCTCCGACTCTAGGAATATTTCCAAAATACCTCTGAACAACATACTAATCCACAGAGGCCTCCCTACCAACATTACAGAAAGAGGGATTCTAGATGGACTCCTCCTGAAGGTCGAGACAGCAGACTGGACTTCTACAGAGAGTGCTTCCGCCGACGTGCACGGGCTGAAATTGTGGAAAAGCAGCATCACTTGCCCCACAACCTCAGCCATGCGGAACACAATGCCATCCGCAGCCTCAGAAACAACTCTGACATCATAATCAAAAAGGCTGACAAAGGAGGTGCTGTTGTCATCATGAATAGGTCGGAATATGAACAAGAGGCTGCTCGGCAGCTCTCCAACACCACTTTCTACAAGCCATTACCCTCTGATCCCACTGAGAGTTACCAAAAGAAACTACAGCATTTGCTCAAGAAACTTCCTGAAATAGCACAAGATCAAATCCGCACAGACACACCCCTGGAACCCCGACCTGGGATATTCTATCTACTACCCAAGATCCATAAACCTGGAAATCCTGGGTGCCCCATCATCTCAGGCATTGGCACCCTGACAGCAGGATTGTCTGGCTATGTAGACTTCCTCCTCAGGCCCTACGCTACCAGCACTCCCAGCTACCTTCGAGACACCACTGACTTCCTGAGGAAACTACAATCCATCGGTGATCTTCCTGATAACACCATCCTGGCCAGTATGGATGTAGAAGCCCTCTGCACCAACATTCCACACAAAGATGGACTACAAGCCATCAGGAACACTATCCCCGATAATGTCACGGCTAACCTGGTGGCTGAACTTGGTGACTTTGTCCTCACCCATAACTATTTTACATTTGGGGACAATGTATACCTTCAGATCAGCGGCACTGCTATGGGTACCCGCATGGCCCCACAGTATGCCAACATTTTTATGGCTGATTTAGAACAACGCTTCCTCAGCTCTCGTCCCCTAACGCCCCTACTCTACTTGCGCTATATTGATGACATCTTCATCATCTGGACCCATGGAAAAGAAGCCCTTGAGGAATTCCACCATGATTTCAACAATTTCCATCCCACCATCAACCTCAGCCTGGTCCAGTCCACAGAAGAGATCCACTTCCTGGATACTACAGTGCTAATAAACAATGGTCACATAAACACCACCCTATACCGGAAACATACTGACCGCTATTCCTACCTACATGCTCCAGCTTTCACCCTGACCACACCACACCATCCATCGTCTACAGCCAAGCTCTGCGATACAACCACATTTGCTCCAACCCCTCAGACAGAGACAAACACCTACAAGATCTCTATCAAGCATTCTTACAACTACAATACCCACCTGCGGAAGTGAAGAAACAGATTTATAGAGCCAGAAGAATTCCCAGAAGTCACCTACTACAGGACAGGCCTAACAAAGAAAATAACAGAACGCCACTAGCCGTCACCTTCAGCCCCCAACTAAAACCCCTCCAACGCATTATTAAGGATCTACAACCTATCCTGAAGGATGACCCAACACTCTCACAAATCTTGGGAGACAGACCAGTCCTTGCCTACAGACAGCCCCCCAACCTGAAGCGAATACTCACCAACAACCACATACCACACAACAGAACCACTAACCCAGGAATCTATCCTTGCGACAAAGCCCGTTGCCAACTGTGCCCACGTATCTATTCAGGGGACACCATCAAAGGGCCTAATAACATCAGCCACACTATCAGAGGCTCGTTCACCTGCACATCCACCAATGTGATCTATGCCATCATGTGCCAGCAATGCCCCTCTGCCATGTACATTGGTCAAACTGGACAGTCTCTACGTAAAAGAATAAATGGACACAAATCAGATGTCAAGAATTATAACATTCATAAACCAGTCGGAGAACACTTCAATCTCTCTGGTCACGCAATCAGAGACATGAAGGTCGCTATCTTACAACAAAAAAACTTCAAATCCAGAGTCCAGCGAGAAACTGCTGAATTGGAATTCATTTGCAAATTGGATACTATTAATTTAGGCTTAAATAGAGACTGGGAGTGGCTAAGTCATTATGCAAGGTAGCCTATTTCCCCTTGTTTTTTCCTACCCCCCCCCCCCGACGTTCTGGTTAAACTTGGATTTATGCTGGAAATGGCCCACCTTGATTGTCATGCAC